ATAATAATAATAGGAAGACTAATAATAACTTGAGGTGGTAGTTTAAGTGACAAATGAGCTCATTTTGTAAGGGATTATTTTAGATAACCCGGGTTTTATTCTTACCAGTGACGATTTCTGCTTGTTTTTATAAAAAACCAACGTGTGTGTGTATATTACATAAATAAAATAGTAAAAAAGTGAAAAAAAAAAAAACATTCTGTCGGTCTCATTTTATTATTTTTTTATTAGTGATGTACAACGTTGGTTGGTTATAAAAAGTCCACGTTAAGGGTCCGTTTACTAATAGAAAACTGTTTTCTGTTTTCTGGTTTCTAATTTTTTAGTTTTCATTCTCTGTTTCTGTTTAGAAAACTTGTTTACTAACAGAAAACTGTTCTTTTTTTTTTTTTTCCTAATTTTTCAGTTTTCACCTAAATTTAGTTTAGATAATACTAATATGATTTGAGCTAATATTTAAATATTTTTTTTGAATATATTCATTTGAATTATATGAATATATAACTTTTACTTTGAATTCTAATATATGTGAGATTTCAATATCCGATATATGGACCGAACTTGTATTATGATGTAACATAATTAAAAATATTCGAACTAATAATCTATTGAGTTCAATCAAAACCTAAAACATTATATAGAGTTTAATTCTTAATTTTAATAATGTAAATAATGGCAACTTTAAAGTGTAAGCAAATAAATTACGTTTAAATAAGTAAAGTAAGTACAAAAGATAGAAGATAGTGATAAGATAAATAAGATAGAATATCATAATAATGTGGTTATAGTGACATATAACTAAATAGATGATAGATGATTCTGTTTTTCATTTCGATAACAGTTTTTAAATGTGTTCTAGTTTTCCATAAATTATTTTCAGTTTTCAAAATGTAAAATTGTGTTAGTAAACATGTTTTCTATTTGGTATTTTTCAGTTTTCGGAAATTTCCAGTTAGTAAACAACATAAATGTTTTTTTTTTTTTTTAATTTTCAAAATTTATTTGACTTTTAATGTCGGTTGTTTAAAAAACCAACGTTATATGTTATTTCTGTAGTAGTAGTAGTTTGTGTGTGTATGTCTATATATATATATATATATATATATATATATATATATATATATATATATATATATATATATATATATATAGTGTGACTCTAATGAAAACTATATCAGAGCTGTTGTCTAAGAAAAAAATTTTACAAATATATTTATACATATTTAAGAAAATTATTAATACATATACCCTTATATTTTAACACATTTGTCAAACCAACACTCGTTTGAGCACTGGGTGGCAATTAAACGAGTCTTGCTCTAGTTAGGACTATCTCTTGTATTCCCCATAAATACATCATTTTATGTATTCTATCGATGCAATTGATCAATAATAAAACTCTCTCTAAAAATTCTTATTTTCATACTATCTACTATTTTTCTTTTTTCGAGTACTACTAACTCTGTTACTATACAGACATACCATCTACTTAAATGCGTCCAACTTCAAAATACATCAATTCTATTACTAGTAGTACAACACTTATTATGATTATTTCTCCCTCTTTGACTGCGCACAGTTGGATTAATGTATATATTATAATGCCCCATGCAAAAAATGTATTATATTCATACAGGGGTGGAGTCAAAAAAATTTCTCAGTGAAAAAATTAAAAGAAATGAGATATTTTAAGAAAAAAAGATTAAAAAAAAGAGGCTAAATTGTCATTTCGCGCCCTGAATCATTCCTGATTATTCATGTCGCACCATGATCTTTAATAAGTGATATTTAGAGTTATAAATCATAATTTTTTTTCGTCTAAAACTTTTTAT